AAAAAAAAAAAAAAAAGGAAAACAAGACCTCTACTCTACAAAAAATTAAAAATATTAACCATACACCTGTAGTCTTGGCTACAGGGGAGGCTGAAGCAAGAGGATTGCTTGAGCCCAGTATCTTGAGGTTGCTGTGAGCTGGGTTGACGCCAGAGCACTCTAGCCTGGGTAACAGTGAGACTCTTAAAAAAAAAATTTACTGTGACTAATGTGGTTTGTTTGTTCGAGGGTGGTGGGTTCAAATCTGCTCCGGCCAAACTGCAACAAAAAATAGCTGGGCATTGTGGCAGACGCCTGTGATCCCAGATACTTGGGAGGCTGAGGCAAGAGAAATGCCTAGGCCCAGGAGTTGGAGGTTGCTGTGACGGCAGGGCACTCTATCAAGGGCAACAAAGTGAGACTCTCTTTAAAAAAACAACAACAACATACATTCTTGCCATAAATTCTAAGTCCTCTACCTCATATTCTCAAACTCCTTTGTTAGCTACACATTGGTTTCAATGAACCAATGGGTGCCTGTGGTCCCAAGATGCTGCCAGATAAGACATTCTGCTGTCTTTTAGACCCCATTGGCTAAAGAAACAGGAAACCTATTAATTGAAAAAATTAATTGCTTCTCAATTATTTCTGTCTGTTCCTCGAGCAAAACTAAAAATAGCACCCTCCTCCAACTTCCCTTTAAAGTTTATCCAAATAAGACAGACCAAGGAAGAAGAAAAAAAAAAACCAACTTCCCATATAAAGGGTTTTCCAAGCTCATTCAAACACCAAACACTCAGGCTTCCCGTTCTCTTTGTGCCTACTGTCTACAGCATGTCTGGAGAAGCAAGGTCCTGAATGACTAACCTGGTAACTTTTTTTTTAAATCTAATGATATGAACCCTTTTCTCTTGAGGGTGGCGGGTTCAAACCTGGCCCCTGCCAAACTGCAACAAAAAATAGCCAGACGTTGTGGTGGGTGCCTGTGGTCCCAGCTACTTGGGAGGCTACGGCAAGAGAATCGCCTAAGCCCAAGAGCTGGAGGTTGCTGTGAGCTGTGACGCCAAAGCACTCCACCAAGAGTGACAAAGTAAGACTCTGTCTCTAAAAGTAAATAAATAAATAAATACACAAATCTCCTTATTCGGCTCGGCACCTGTGGCTCAAGTGGCTAAGGCTCCAGCCACAGACACCTAAGGTGGCAGGTTCGAATCTAGCCCGGGCCCGCCAAACAACGATGGCCAGGCGTTGTGGTGTGATGTCCCAACAATCTATCCAGGGGACAGCTTGAGGCTCTGTCTTAAGGAAAAAAAAAATCTCCTTATTCACGCTGAAGAACCAATACAATCAACTTTTGCAGAAAGACTAGTAATGTTCTTTTTTTTTTTTGAGACAGAGTTTCACTATGTTGCCCTCAGTAGAGTATATGGCATCACAGCTCACAGCAACCTCAAACTCTTGGATTTAAGCAATTCTCTTGCCTCAGCTTCCCAAGTAGCTGGGACTACAGGAAACTGCCACAATGCCTGCTATTTTTTGGTTGCAGTTGTCATTGTTTAGCAGGTCTGGGACAGGCTTGAACCCACCACCCTCAGTGTACGTGGCTGGCGCCCTACACAGTGACCTATGGGCATGGAGCCCTATTTTTTTTTTTAAAGAGGGTACATGGATATTTGTTTTTTTATTTCATATGTGCATGTATATCTATATACACGTATACTCATTTTGTATGTATGAAATACTTCACAGTAAAAAATAAAAACAAAAACACTGGCAGATGGCAGTGCCCGTTAGCCATATACACCAAGGCTGGAGGGTTCAAACACAGCCTGGGCCAGCTAAAACAATAATGACAACTGCAACAACAACAACAACAAAACACTGGCAGAAGAATTGATTCCAAGAATACTGGCTAAGTCCCACCTCTCTAGGGAAACTGCTTTAGTTCTTTGCCACTTAGTGGCATGTAACACCAAGATCCCCTCTTTTCTATCCCTAAACATTCAGG